CTCAATGAAGCATCCTACACGTCCTCTTCAAAGGAGCCTGTCTTTCTGATCCATACATCATCCCACCTGTGGCATTATCAAGCTTATTTAACTTGTTATTGTCCATCTCTCCCCCTGGCCTGCACTCAGCCAGGGTCTGGCGAACACCTGCACAAGGCATGTTACCAGGCACACTGCACATTGGCACTGAAGTGCACTGGGAGTTACGGCAGTCTAGGCCCGTGCTCAACTCCCAGTGACACCTGGCAGGAGGGATGTCCAAGGTGTGCCAGAAGCTCTTGGCAGTGGGAAAGTCTAGATGCTTGATTGGGACAGGAAGCAGAAATGGGTTTCTCTACAGTGGCAGGTCTCACACTTGAGTGTACATGTCAGAGTCCCCTGGAGGGCTTAAAACCCAGACGGCCAGACACACCCAGAGCTCTGACTCAGTGGAGGAGACCCTGGGGGAGAACTCGAATTCTCACAAGTTCCCTGGTGAGGCTAGGCAGGGGCCCACATTAACAGAAGCAAGTAATTGTGGAATTCTGGAAAATTATAGGGGGGCAAGGGAGGGCTTCCTCTGAGGAGCCATATGTGCTATGAGTTCCTTACAGAAATCAATGAGTTGCTAATATTCGTGGTATTTTTTGCAGGGAAAGGAAGCAAGCAAGTACTTCTTAGAGAAGGGTTGGGAGAGATGACTCAAGGAAAGCCATAGAACTAATGTGACTCGGGGTGTGTACAGAAGAGGGGTGTACATGTGTGTGTGTATGTGTGTGCATGCAAGAATTTACAGGATATTACAAAAGTTCAAAAGCATCAGAAAATCAAAGCTACAAACACTGAACAGTTCTGAAAAGCCAGTGTTTCTCAAACTGGTGTGTGTACAGTCTTGTGAGCTTCATAAAGAAAGATAGAGGCCAGACTAAAGTGTAGCAGAATGGGGACTGGATGCCATACTGTGACCACGTGATGCTGGTATGCCCAGAGATAGAGATTGAGAAGTGCAGCTGCTCACACATGGAGCCCCTCCTGCCTGCCCTTGTTTAGGAAGTCACTTGAAGACGGAGGCTAGCTTAGCACTCAGAGAGACCTTTGCTCAGTTCCAGGATCTGCCATTTGTTTATTATTTGACTTAGGCAAGGACTCCCTTTGACTGCTAGACCTCAGTGTTCCCATCTTAAAAGGGCACAGTGGTCAACAGAAGAGCATGGCAGTGTTCGGTTTGAAGTAATGCCCTTGTTGATGACTGATGGACTCTGCTGCCTTTCTGGTCTACTTCTGAGGGCTCTGTGAACATCTTACCTAGCAACAGAAAATGATTCCAGCAAGAGGCTGGAATCACCACCATCAGCTCACCACCATCAGCTTCATTAAAAGGAACCATAAGAAGAATTCAGCAGGCTGGAGCAAAAGCTAAGAAGGGCATCTGAGCTTTGTGGTAAACCTTTCGAAAGAATGGGGCAGCTCCTCTCTCCCCAGTTCCTCCCTCAGTGCTCCAAGTGTTTAAAGGTTCCACTTACAAATGGACTTGGTTCATTAGGTCTTAGGTGACCTGATGGGCAGAAAAGTGTCCCCAAGGATATCCAGGACCTTATCCTGGAGACACAAATGTTACCTCAAATGGCAAAAAAGAAACATTACTGATGGAACTAAATTAAACATTTTGAGATGGACAGAGAACGTGGACTATCTGGGTGGGCCCTGAACAAGTCGCACTTGTCCTTATCAGAAGTCTGTGGGTGGTTTGACTGCAGAAGGTACTGTAACTATGGAAACAAATGCCGTGAAATGGAGGAAGGGGCCAGGAGCCAGGGAATGCAGGAGTGCAGCTCTAGAAGCTGGGAGTGCAAGAAAATGCATTCTTTTCCAGAGCGTCTGGAAAGGAACATGGCCTTGCCTTGATCTAGACGTCAGACCTTCAGAACTGAAAGAGAACAAGGTGTGCTGTTCTGCCGATCTGGTAGGAATGGAACACAGGTGGTTCCCAGAGTCAGCATGGAAGGCTCCCCTTCCATGCTGCCAGAGGTCCAAAGAGACCATGGTTTGGGAAGTACTGCCCCAGAGCTGTACCTGGCTGATTTACAAACACAGCCCATTTTCAGAGAACCCAGGACAACATGGGAACCACATCCGCCTCTGCCTGCTTGTTTTATAGATGCAGAAACTGAGGCTCAGGAAACCCTGCAGTTGGGTGGAAGGGCAACAGACACTTTCATTCAACTCTTTTATTATTAGGTTTCCAATTGCATTTGTAGTTTATAACATGAGCAATTGCACAGACTGTCGATAACTTTGTAATAATTCCATAATGACCCGATGGTGAGATAATTTAGCCATCCTGATTGTAATTGTATTTGTGGATCTAGCAATTGGGTAACTAGTTGGTTATTACTCATCTCCCCAAGAGCCATACAGATTGCATTATAAGGGAGCTAATCTTAGAAGTACTTGTTAACTTGGATGATAATTACTAAGTAATTGGCTTGAACATGCTATTGTGAGTTTATCCAGAATATGCCAGGTAATTATCTGGTCTTATACTCCCTGTAAAATAAAAACAGGGTCCAAAAATTGTCCCAGTTGCTTGGCTAACATCCAGCCACCGGCCTCTGCCAGCCCTCTGTAGTCACGTGACTGCAGGTCATTAATCAAATTATTCAAATATTTGGTTTCAAATCAAACATCCAGATGAGAAATTTAGATGGCCCGCAAGTGGCTAGCACTGAATGGGGGCACGCAGAGCCCTCCCCGTGATAAATATGCAACACCACAATAATAGGGAATAAATGCCACTTCTTTGGGACTCATCTGGCATCCTCATGCAAAATACCCAAACACTTCAGAGACCAATTACACTTCTCAAAGCTGCAGAGCCTTTATCATGGTTCCAGGAAAAGGCGCTCTCTGTGAAATCTGTAGGTAGTTAGGGTGCGTGGGGAGGGGACTGAAGTTCTGTATATAATAGAAGAGGGCTGCAAATGCAGCTGGCTTGCAGGATGAGCAACACATTTTCGTAATGACCACTGTGTCCATCCACCTCCGAATGGCCAGCTTTTGGGAAGGGGGTGAATGAGGGAGGGAGGCAGGCGCACAATGAGTAATTCAAAAAATGTCAGACAACAGAGAATCAGGAGGTCCTTAAAGGGTCAGGAAGGAGAAGAGACAATGGGCTTAGGGGTGGGCAAAAGAGCAGGGATAACAGAGAGTAAAAAGCTGCCCAGAGAGGAAGTTGGGGTACCAGCTTAGAGTGGGAGTAGCAGGAAGGAGACCAGGGGGGAGGGAAAGGACCACTTTCCAATCAGACTTGTGCATCCTAAATAAAGGTATCCTGACTTCCCGCTAAGAGCTGATAATCCCTACTGGATGGGAGAGGAAAGGGAGCTGCAGGTTTTGCTACAAAGATCATAAAAGTGGCCAGAGATTGTCCCTTGCCCTGCACCAGTGACCTTGAGATGGGATATCGCAGATTCTTCTATTCAGAGGCAGAGTCTGTTTCTCCCTGCCTGATTTCTAGGTGATCACATGAGTTGCTTTGGCCCATGGATGTCAGTCGGTGTGTCACACTCAGAGGCCTGAAAAACACTGGTGCATTAGGCCTTGACCTCTTGCTGTACCTGGGAACCTGAGACTACCATGGGAATGAGCCCAGCCTATGCTGTTGGGGAAAAGAGGCCACACAGAGCAGAACCAAGGCACCCCAGCTGACAGTCTACTCACCAGCACTCAGTGTGGAGGGCACCCAAGACTGAGCAGTCCAACAGACCAGGTTCCTGTCACTAAGCCTGGGTCAGTCCAGAACGGTCCACAGATAGAGGGAAGCTACTAAGTTGGAGGTACTCTGCTACTGAGCACAAGTGTACTGAGCTTACACTACCTGATCAGAATGGTCCAGCCACTGAATTAATTACTGAGAGCCACTTCTTTCCTGGCCAAAGTTGAGAGCCCCCATTTCCACCCTGGTTTAAGAATGAAATCTCTATCCTTCACTTGCATTTGTCACTCAACACCTGGGCCTTAGTCAGCCCACCGTCTCTATTGTTGATGGTGCTAGACAGTACACCTGCTACCAATTATCAGTGCCTATAATGGACTCCAGGAGGTTTTGTCTCTCCAGGAGACATGTCAAAGACACACCAGCTCCTTCCTGAGCCTCCTGCTATGACATCTCCCAAGACGCATTTGGGATCTTATTGCTCGAGTTGTGTATGGAAAGCAGAGAGCTCCAAGAATTTCAAGTGTGGCCAGTTCCCATGGAAAAAGGGAGCAAATGCCAGAGCTTAAGGACGCAGCAAAGAACTGTTTCACAACTGTTCAACTCCAACCAAAGCTGTTTTCTTTCGATGCCTGTTTCATGTCACTGGGTGAAGTTAGAGCAAGTCCCAGAAAAGCCACTGTCTCCTGACATTTTCTTAAATTACCCCTCCTGTGTACCACAGGGCACGAATCATGGATATTCAGAAAAACGGTGGTAATAATGGCCAATGCGCTGTACAAATTCCCATGAATCAAAGTCATCAGCCTCAGCCCAGGGGTCGGCAAACTGTGGCCCATGGGACCAATCCAGTCCACCACCTGATTTTGTTGATAAAGTTTTATGGGAACACAGTCATGCGAACTCACATATTTCTATAGCAACTTTCATGCCACGGCAGCAGAGCCAAATTGCCTGTATGGCCTGCCAAGCTGAAAGTGTTTCTTATTGGCCCTCTGTAGAAAAAAAATCTCTGACCTTGATTCAGTGCCACCCTCTTTTCACATATGGAGGGAACAAATTTCAGAGATGCATTTACATAAAAAAAAAACCTAGACAGAGGAGGAATTAGGCCTGACTTTTCTACCTCCCCACTTAGTGTTCTTGCCAGACAAGACTAGAGTTTAAAAGAGTATAAGTAAACTCTTCACCGTAGACCGAAAGACACTCTGTGAGGCACAGTGACAACTTAGCCAAAGCGAATTTTTCCGACTGGGCCAGGCACAAAGCACGGCGAAGCCACCCTAGGTGGCCAGGTGAGACTGACCTGGTGATGATAGCTAGGTGGGGCGGGCTCATGCAGGCACCCATGAAAAGAACCACGTTCTCGTGCCTCGTCTGCCTGTAGGCCATCACCTCCCGCTTGAAGGCCTTCAGTTGGTCCTCATTATCTCTTTCGACGTCAATCAGTCGGATGGCCACCTCCCCGTGCCAGCGGCCGTGGTACACCTGTCCAAAGCGGCCTTTCCCGATGAGCTCACCGACCTCCAGCTGCTCGAAGGGGATGTCCCACTCCTGAAGAAAGATGCTGGTCTGGCTGGCCTTGCGTGGAAAACTCCGCGCTGACAGGAGGGACAGGTTCATCTCTTCAAAGTCATCCTCAGACTCCTCGGCTTCCTCGTGACCTTCCTCGTTCTGTGGCCAGAGGGCATAGAGAGGTCAGAGCCATTGCTACCCCTGGTCCACCCTCTCTGGATCCCATGGGCATGGTGGAGGCCTAGACACTGTATTTCTGGATGCTGTAGACATAGCTCTACAGCTTTGGTCTAGAATACCTTGAAGGACCTGATGGGAGATCAGAGTAGTCCACCTGTTCTGTGCTAAGGGCGGGGGAGGGGAGAGGGGTGCCGGGGAGGGTGGGGTGGGGATACTGAAGCTCAGAGAGGAGAAATACTAAGGGGATGACCACTCAATCCAGTTTTCTGGGACTTTGGTGGTTTTTAGCACCCAAAGTGACACATGTCAGGACACCCTCAGTCCCAGGCAAACTGGGAAGTGCCTTATATGTCACACAGCCAGACAGAGGGATGACAATGATTTACGTCTCTACACTCCAACTACCTGATGCCATTCCTATTCTGCCCTGCTGTTTTGAACTTGTCTGACTAATAAAACGCATGTGACGAGCTTGACAGACTACAGCATGGGTGCATTGTGTGTCTGCCTCTAACACAGGACAGCCGTCAATATGGGGTATCTTTTGCTTCCCCCAGGGAATTTGAGTTGATGATTCAGAAATTGGGAGAGGTCAGAGCTACAAGCCAGAGGCCTGTGGTTTCTATAGCGGCTGGGAGGTAGGGGATATGAGAGAGAGGGGTTAAATAGAATGAGCTTAGCAGTCAGGCCAAGTGAGCCAGCCAGCTCTGGCCTGTATATGACCTTGGGCAAATTGCTCCATTTCTCTGAGCCCTCTGTCCTCATTGTAAAGTGGAAGTCATAAAATCTGCCCTGGGGAGCAAGGCGACATTTTAAACAAGAGGGAGAACTATTAAATTCTTTACGCAGAGCTGGCCACCTGCATCAGCCATTCTCTGGGATGTCTGACAACACAGATTTCTGAGCCCCATGCCAACCCACAGAGTCAAAGCACCAGCAGGTCAGGAGTCTGAATTTTTACCATGCCTGCCCACCCCCATGACCGGAGCACACTTACACATGACCGTCCTGAGTGTTGACCAATCAAGGTCTTGGACCACGCCTGCCCAGCATGGTGTTTGGGGGTGCCTGGGGCTTGAGGGATCCCTTGTCTTTTGGATTCTTTTGCTGCACTGTGGGAAAGGTAGCTATCCCAGCCAGTGGGGATGGCCTTTGGGACCAGATATGATGATGTGAGAGGGTGGCTTCTTAACTGGGCACAGCTCTTCCTGACCCCAAGTCCCTAAGCAAGCTGCCGTCCAGATCACATTCAAGGGGACCAACCCAAGACACATTGACTTCTCCTGGCAGCGTTTCCCAGAAAGGGACATGATCTCCCCCTTGAAACTTGTTTCTATTCTTTCAACTCAGGACACATGGGCAGAGCTGAGGGGTTGGACTCCACGGTTCTTCTGGGGACATTTCGTTTATTTCTTCAGCAGCCTGGGCAGAGGGAAAGAGCCCTGGAACATTCTGACAGCCCTGCAAAGCCCAGCATCCCTGGTTTCCCCCACCTCTGCTCACATATTCTTTCAAATGTACTGGGGCACATCCCCCTCGCTAGTCACCCAGTCCCGAGCTAATTTTTCAACTAAAAATGCAAATTTCTTGCCAACTTTTGCCCAACTGGCTTTTCCATGATGCACACCATATAACGGCCCATTAAGTTCTGAGCTGGGAGGGGACAATGCTCGTTAATTGTCCTGGAGTTAGATCATCCATCATGTAGCCAGTGCACCCCCGTGTGCCCCAAGTCCTCTGCGTCATCAAAGACATCAGTTGGCTTTGCCATGTTCTCGGCAGACCCAAAAAAAAGCCATTCCTTGCTTTTAATTCTCACCTCTGAGGTTGGCTCCACTTCAATTTGAAGTAAAGGATTTCCTTCCAAGCTTTAAAGAAAGAAAAAGAAAATGTGACCCTTAGGTAAAGAGGTAGATCTGCATATTGAGGTTAGCCACATTGAAGAATCCCAAATCAGAGATTCCCACCACCAAGCCTTTATCTCACATTTCAACACTTGGGTCCGAAATCATCCATAACCTAGGTCACAAAAAAAGTGGTGCACAAAGATATATTTTAAATAGATTTTCTGGACTGCTCAGGGCTCATTTTCTTTATTGCTTTACTTTCAACTACTCTAGCCTCTCCCAATAAATTGGTCTACATGCCACAGGTAGATCATTCCTTAGAAGTCTAGATGTTCACTGGGAAAGAACAAATGGGATTTCTATAGTTCACTCAAGATTCAGAATCCCTTGGAAGGATGTTAAGTTAATGTTCATTTGTCTGCTCATTCATTCGTTTATTCACCATTCATTTATCCATCCATTTGCTCATTCATTCATCCAACTCATCCATTCATTCATTCACTCATCCATCCATCCATCAATCCACCCACTCATCCACTCATCCATCCATCTATTCAACTAGAATTCTGTGCCAGTAATAGTATTGGGTCTTTAGTAGGATACAGAATTGAACTTGGAATGGCACCTGACTTTAAGCAATATTGTATTACTATTGAAAGAACTAAAGCAGAGAGGCTAAAAGTGACAAGGACCAGAAGTTAGGTTTGAACTGAATAGGTGCAGTATAAAAGGAATTCAAATGAAAGAGTATTTCTGGGTGTATTTGAAAATTCATGGTGTTTTATTTGGACTTTGCCAATCACATACAATCAGGATGTGTGGGATGAAAATAAGACTATACTGGGCTGGAAGACTCAGGTGTGTGTGTGTGTACCTGTGTAAGCTCATGAGCAGAGTTGCTTTCTGAGCACGTGAACACGTTGAGCAGGGATTCTGGGGGGCCCACTGTGTTTGGGTATGTGAGCACTGCGTGGGGGTTATGGGATATGCTCTATGTAGGGTTTGTCTTGTGTGTGGGTGAGTTGGGTGGACATACTGGAAGTGTTGGGGGCAGGCTTTGTGCTGATGGGATAATTGGGTATGTAGGAGGCGTGTGATGAGAATGTTGGGCACAGTGCACTTTGGAGGTGTACTGGGACATCTTTTGAGCCTCGAGGATGTGTATGTGTCTGTGGAGCACAGCTGGGAGACAGTAGCGGGGTTACAGAAGGCCCAGAGGAGCCAGGACAGGTGGGCAAAAGGAACTACAAGGATAGCCATGCCCCCCTTTGCATTTCTCCAATGGAAGCTTGGCAGACTCCCCCTCCCCACTCATCATTGGTGGGGCTCCTATCCTGACCCTCAGTTCCTAGGAAGCTGCTGACCCTGATGATAGAGTCAATCCACTTCCTGGAGGAGCTCCTGGCAAGAGGGACTCTGAAAGACCTTAAGATGCAAAAGAAGGGGAAAGAAGGGTTATCATAAAGTGGTGCGTATTAACCAATCATTCACAGTACAGCCTAGGGATATGGAATGAGATTATGCAATGACACCTGATGTGCCAGGAACTTGAGGCTCAGGGAGGGACAATGCAGCTGGAGTTCCTCCCCAGCCCAACAGCACAGGGCAGCCCTCCTCCTTGTGCATCAAGGCACACCTCCAGCCGCAGGAATATTCAATTATTTCCCTCTGCAGAGTTAGTTCCCATCACTCCACGCACACTTAAGCAGATCACAGGCAGCTATTGACTCGGGCTTTTGCCAGCACTCCCAGGCTGTCAGTTAATAACCTGGAGTTCATCTTGCACAAATTGTGGAGTTGGTTTATGCACAGCAGAGAAATGACTCAGGGTTAGATGACAGCACAATATCCCCCGGCAAGTTGCTGCTTCTCTGATTTCAGAGATGCACCATTTGGGTCTTTAACAAAGTCCTAGCATGAGTCAAAAAGGATGGAGTAGTTAGGGGAGCCAAAGAAAAAGCAAGGAAGCAAAAACAGAAGTTGGGCAACTTGTGAAATACTAGCATGCTCCAGTGTCGACCAAAGAAGTGAAGGTCAGTGATTTCCCTTTGGCTGCACAAGCCATGGACCACCTGCGAAAGGCTCTGTGTCCTAAGGATGCAGATGTTGTGTTGAAGTGTTGTTTACATATGGGAAGCAATGTCAAGTCCAGTAATAGGGAAATGGTTAAGGAACTCTTCTAGGTCAATGTGGCACTTGAACGATCTTTGAAAACAATGTCTGTGAAGACTAGAGTAGTTTGACAAATGTGATGTTTAGCATTAATGATAACAAGGCAGGATAGTAACTGATTTATTTCAGTTCACAACTATGTAAACAAGACTAGAAAGAGCACATGTAAAGCTCTAATGGTGGTGGTGGGATTGTAAGTGATTGCTTTTCCTCTCCTTTTTTACAGCATAGTCCCAAAAATTACCAAAATTGAGAGTGGGTGTAGAGGGCTAAGGAAACTGAGGACCCCAGAAATTGCACTTACCATGCAGAGCCAGAGACACAGGGTTCAAGGGAGCCAATGTGGCTCTCCTCATCTGTCTCTCAGCCTGGGCAGTCAGGCCCCTTTTCTCACTGCCTAAGTTATGCCTTGTGTCTCTCTGTCCCTCCCCATCTACTCCAGAATAAGGAGAAAGAAGACAGAAGACCTGGGTACACAAAGGCCAGGGCTTCGCACCAGGGCTGGGGTGGGGATGGAGGGTGGGTGAGGCTGTGGTGAGGTGGGGATGAGGTGGGTGTGTGTGGTGGGGGTGAGGTGGGGATGGAGTGGTGGGGTGTGGTGGGGGTGAGGTGGGGGTGATGTGGGGGTGAGGTGGGGGTGAGGTGGGGTGATGTGGGGGTGAGGTGGGGTGAGGTGGGGATGAGGTGGAGGTGTGGTGGGGGTGAGGTGGGGTGAGGTGGGGATGGAGGTGGAGGTGAGGTGGGGGTGAGGTGGGATGGAGGTGGAGGTGAGGTGGGGGTGAGGTAGGGATGGAGGTGGGGTGAGGTGGGGGTGATGGGTGAGGTGGGGTGATGTGGGGTGAGGTGGGGGTGAGGTGGGGATGGAGGTGAGGTGGGGGGAGGTGGGGATGGAGGTGGAGGTGAGGTGGGTATGGAGGTGGGTGGAGGTGGGGGTGAGGTGGGGGTGAGGTGGGGATGGAGGTGGGGGTGAGTGGGGTGAGGTGGGGATGGAGGTGGGGGTGAGGTGGGGGTGAGGGGATGGAGGTGGGGATGGAGGTGGGGGTGAGGTGGGGTGAGGTGGGGATGGAGGTGGGGTGAGGTGGGGTGTGGTGGGGTGAGGTGGGGGTGAGGTGGGGATGGAGGTGGAGGTGAGGTGGGGTGAGGTGGGGATGGAGGTGGGGGTGAAGTGGGGTGAGGTGGGGATGGAGTGGGGATGGAGGTGGGTGAGGTGTGGGTGATGTGGGGTGAGGTGGGGGTGAGGTGGGATGGAGGTGGAGTGAGGTGGGGGTGAGGTGGGGGTGGAGGTGAGGTGGGGGTGAGGTGGGGATGGAGGTGAGGGTGAGGTGGGGTGAGGTGGGGATGGAGGTGGAGGTGAGGTGGGGGTGAGGTGGGGATGGAGGTGGAGGTGTGTGGGGGTGTGATGGGATGGAGGTGGGGTGTGGTGGGTTGAAGTGTGGGTGAGGTGGGGGTGAGGTGGGATGGAGGTGGAGTGAGGTGGGGTGAGGTGGGGATGGAGTGGGGTGAGTGGGGGTGGGTGGGGTGGAGGTGGTGAGGGTGGGGGTGTGGTGGGTGGAGGTGTGGGGGTGAGGTGGGGTGAGGTGGGGTGACATGGGGGGAGGTGGGATGGAGGTGGCAGTGAGGTGGGTGAGGTGGAGGTGAGGTGGGGGTGAGTGTGGATGGAGGTGAGGTGGGGGTGAGGTGGAGGTGAGGTGGGGGTGAGGTGGGGGTGAGGTGGGGTGTGGTGGGTGAGGTGGGGTAGTGGGGGTTGTGATCTTAGCTCCACTTACTTGGATTCGAGGCCATGGATGCAGGATGACTGTGTGTGCCCGCGTCGGTTGTATCTGGCCAGGCACCACATCTGAAAGCCAGAGTGTTGGGAGCATCAGAAACTAAACCTGGAGGTGGCAGTGAGGTGGGGGTGAGGTGGAGGTGAGGTGGGGGTGAGGTGGGGATGGAGGTGAGGTGGGGTGAGGTGGAGGTGAGGTGGGGGTGAGGGGGTGAGGTGGGGGTGTGGTGGGGGTGAGGTGGGGGTAGATGGGGGGTTGATCTTAGCTCCACTTACATTGGATTCGAGGCCACAGGATGCAGGATGACCTGTGGTGCCCGCGTCGGTGTCTCTGGCACAGGCACCACATCTGAAAGCCAGAGATTGGAGCATCAGAAACTAAACCTGGAACCACCCCTGCCCTCAGGAATCTGATGCCTAGGAGACACAGCAGCTAATAATTTCCAGGACCTTGTGGATCCCAGGGAAGGTGGATCCACTTCCCTTCCTCAACCACCCAGACTTTTCCCTCCTGACGTAGATGAGTGTCTAGATGATAGATATACCTACACAATGGCTCCACTGTTGACCAGCGAGCTGCTGGGATTCCTAAGCCTGGAGCCTGAAGCATCCCCTGGTGGTCCGCAGATCATTTCCCCTCCTGAGCTCCCTCTGGATGAGGCCACTTGGTTTCATATCTTCTCAGTACTCAACTTGAGCACTTCTGACCATCTCTTTCTGCTGGATGTCTCTGGCCCCTCCTCATCCTGGCCAGCTCCCTCTCATGCTTGCAATGTGCCTGGGACTCCCCACTCTTGTTTTCTCTACTTCCACATCCAGTCATTATCATGGGGTTTGGTGACCAACGACCACGTCTGATGTTGCCATCCTGACGATATTCTCCCAGGACTTGCGGGGAAGGGGCTGTTGACAGCTCACAGGATACTCACCTGGGAAGATGAACTGCTGTTTGTATTTGTAGTAGTGGGATGCTTAGAAAAGAAAGAAAATGGCAGTGAGTAAGTGTCACCAGGTACCAAGCTGGGCTCTACGGGCCCCCAGATGATCATTCTCTGTCTAGTTTTTTGTTTCTGCAGATGCCCTGATTTATAAGCATTTGTGTAAAGAAACCAAAACTCTAAACTTGCAAGCCCATCCTCCCATTTCATAGCTCAGACTTCTTAAAATCAGACCACTCCACCTTGGAAGTCATCTTAAGTTCAATGCCATTATTGATAATTGTGTGATTATACACACTCACACACACACACACAGTCTAAAGCTGCAACACTTTTGGCAGACAAACAACAGTTGCTTTAAAAAAAATCCTTTATGAGGTTGGGTATTGTTGCTCACACCTGTCATCCCAGCTACTTGGGAGGCAGAGAGCAGGAGGATCAAGGTTTGAGGTTGGTCCAGGCTCATGAGACCCTACCTGAAAAATAACTAAAGCAAGAAAGGGCTGAGGGTGTGGGTCAAGAGGTAAAGCTCTTGCCTACCACGAGAGGCTCTAAGTTCAATTCCCAGTAACACCAAAACAAACAAACAAACAAAAACCTTTATGCTTTTTCTGTGTGTTCCAAGTTTTCTGCATTGAGCATTCTATTCATTTTGGTTTTTGCTGCTGTTACTAAGTTTCTTACTACAAACTTAGTGGCTGAAAAGAGCACAAGGGTCTCCTCTCAGAGTGTGGTGTGGGGGCTGGAAGTCTGAAACGAGCCGTGAAGAGCTGAGACCCAGGAGTCTGGTTCTGGATCCTCCAGTCTCCTCCAGATGCCGGAGGCTGCTGCCCTGCTCAGTTCATAACCTCATCACCCCATCTCTGCTGTTGCTCTGACAGCACCTTCCGCTGCCTTTGACCTTGCCTCCCTCTTACAAGAGCCCGTGCGGCTACCCTCAGGGCCACCAGGACAATCCTTCTCTCTCGAGACCACGACATAATCACACATGCAAAGCCCCTCCATCAGGTAAGGCAGCAGACCCCCAGGCTCCAGGGTTCGGACACGAGGGAGTATTTTTCTGTCTACCACAAGCATGAATTAAATTCCACATTAGGAAAACAACTTCCCTGGACCTCACTACTAATTCTCCGACAATTCATTTTGTTTCTGGCCACCCGTCAGAAGCCAGGGGCTCAGACATGTACAAGGTTTTTGTTGTTCTTGTTTTGGAGAACTGAGGTTTGAAATCAGGGTCTTGAACTTGCTAGGCAGTAATTCTACAACTTGAGCCATACTCCTAGCCCTTGTTTTGCATTATTTTTTTTTTCAGATAGGGTCTCAGGATTTTGCTTGAGGCTGATCTCAGACCAAGATCTTCCTACTTTTGCCTCCTATGTAGCTGCAACTGCACAGACATGGACCACCATGCTCATTGACTGAGGTGTTCTGCCCAGGCTTGCCTGGAACCATGATCCTCCTGATTTCCACCATCTGAGTAGCTGGGATTACGGATGTGCACCACCATACCTGGCCCCAATATTTCAAAACTTTCTGATTTACCACTTGCTCCATCGGGTACAGAGCCTAGAGTAGGGGGGCAGGTTGTGTGAAGATTTCTATCCCTTAGCAAATGCAGCAGACAGATACAAGTCTGAATTGCTGAATCTACTTCCAGAAACAATTTGATTACATGTAGGGGCTAGCTACTTGGAGATGGCTCATTAAGCATGGGTAGGTGCTTCTGAGCCTGGGGTCTAGAAGCTCATCCTGCAGGGTGGACTCTCCCCTTTGCTTTGGGTTACTGGTAAAAGCCAGAGCAAATCTTTCCAAGTTTCAATGTCTACATGCAAACCGGGGGCAATAATGGTCCCTTCCACATACGGCTGGCATCTCCATTATGTAAGAGGGCACGGAGATTTCTAAAAAAAGCCCAGGTGGCCCTCTGTAGTCTACCTGCAGATCAACCAACCCGAGATCAAAAATATCCTTAAAAAATCGGTACTGAACATGTATGGAATTTTTACCTGTCATTATTTCCTAAACAATACGGTCTAACAACCGCATAGCATTTGCACGGTACCGGATATCATATGTAACTAGACGTGACTTAAATACACAGGAGAACATCAGGCTCTATGCAAACACCGAGGCGTTCTTTACAGGGACCTGGGCATCCTTGGATTTTGGTATTCACAAGCGTCCTGGAAGCCAGGATCCCGAGGAATGAATGCATTAACTGATGAATAAACAAAGCCCTTCTCAGCTCTCTTCACTACCAGGCAAGAATGATTTATAACGAAGAGACGACTGGATAGCTTCAAGCACTAAGCCATTTGTTTTGGGCAAGCATATGAACTCTCCCTCCCACCCTGAGGTTGGACTTGATTTACGACTTCCTTCAGGACAGAGCAAGTCCCAGTATCTCAGGATCCCAAATTCCCTGCGCGCGTAGGTGTGCAACAGGCATTTGTTCAAAGAATTCTCTCTCTTATCAAAGGTAAAAGAGTGGAAACCTTTGGCTTGGGCTGGGGGCCTTGGTCAAGTGCAAGAGCACCTGCCTAAAAGGTGAGTTCAAACCCCAATACTGCTGGGTGTGGGGGGAGGGAGGGAAACTGGAAGGAGTGGGAAGGAAGGAAAGAAAGAAGGAAGGAAGGAAGAAGGAAGGAAGGAAGGAAGGAGGGAAGGAAGGAAGGAAGAAGGAAGGAAGGAAGGAAAGAGGGAGGGAAGGAAGGAAGGAGGGAAGGAAGGAAGGAGGGAAGAGGGAAGGAAGGAAGAAGGAAGGAAGGAAGGAAGAGGGAAGGAAGGAATGAAGAGGGAAGGATGGAAGGAAGGAAGGAGGGAAGGAAGGAAGGAGGGAAGAGGGAAGGAAGGAAGGAGGGAAGAGGGAAGGAAGGAAGGAAGAGGGAAGGAAGGAAGGAGGGAAGGAAGGAAGGAGGGAAGAGGGAAGGAGGGAAGGAAGGAAGGAGGGAGGGAAGGAAGGAGGGAAGAGGGAAGGAAGGAAGGAAGGAGGGAAGGAGGGAAGGAAGGAAGGAGGGAGGGAAGAAGGAGGGAAGGAAGGAAGGAAGGAGGGAAGGAGGGAAGGAAGGAAGGAGGGAAGGAAGGAAGGAAGGAAGGAGGGAAGGAAGGAAGGAGGGAAGGGGGAAGGAAGGAAGGAGGGAAGAGGGAAGGAAGGAAGGAAGAGAAGGAAGGAAGAAGGAAGGAAGGAAGGAAGGAAGAAGGAAGGAAGGAAGAAGGAAGGAAGGAAGAAGGAAGGAGGGAAGGAAGAAGGAAGGAAGGAGGGAAGGAAGGAGGGAAGGAAGGAAGAAGGAAGAAGGAAGGAAGAAGGAAGAAGGAAGAAGGAAGGAAGAAGGAAGGAAGGAAGAGAAGGAAGGAGGGAAGGAAGAAGGAAGGAAGGAGGGAAGGAAGGAGGGAAGGAAGGAAGAAGGAAGAAGGAAGGAAGAAGGAAAAGGAGGAAAGAAGAAGAAGGAAGAAGGAAGGAAGAAGGAAGGAGGAAGGAAGGAAAGAAGGAAGGAAGGAAGAAGAAGGAAGGAGGAAGGAAGGAAGGAAGAAGGAAGGAAGGGAAGGAAGGAAAGGAAGGAAGGAAGAAGGAAGGAGGGAAGGAAGAAGGAAGGAGGGAAGGAAGGAGGAAGAAGGAAGGAGGGAAGGAAGGAAGGAAGGAAGGAAAGGAAGGAAGGAAGAAGAAAGGGAGGAAGGAAGAAGGAAGGAGGGAAGGAAGGAAGGAAGAAGGAAGGAGGGAAGGAAGAAGGAAGGAAGAAAGGAAGGAGGGAAGGAAGGAAGGAGAAAGGAAGGAGAAGAAGGAGGGAAGGAAGAAGGAAGGAGGGAAGGAAGAAGGAAGGAGGGAAGGGAAGAAGGAAAGGAGGAAGAAGGAGGGAAGGAAGAAGGAAGGAGGGGAAGGAAGGAGGAAGGAAGAAGGAAGGAGGGAAGGAAGGAAGGAAGGAAGGGGGAGGAAGAAGGAAGGGGAGGGAAGGAAGGAGAAAGGAAGGATACCCAGGTACCGCAAGAGGCTTGGTTGATCTTGTCACTCCTGGATCTGACTGGGGAGAGGAATTCTGTGTCCCCAGCAGCCACATTCCTGTAAGGAGAGGCTGGGCCCTGGTGAAGAGCTGTTTTGGAAAGTCCGGGAGGGGGCACGGGGTAGGTAAGGGGACACCCAGAAGATGACCAGGGCCAATCCCTGCCTTCCATCTGACACAGAACAGCTCCTTCCTGATGGCTGAGAGGAAGGTGAGAGAGGGAGATGGGGATGAGGACATCATGGGTGACCACCATCCAAAATGGCTCCAAGGAATAACCAATGTCCCCAACAGGCAGCTTGAGGGAGCTGCAGTGGCTGGTGGCTTTTTGCCATCAAAGAGGAGGTGGGCCTGGGACCTGCAGATGGGGTATAGGGGCAAACAGGCCATTCTGAGTCCCCACTGCTGCCCTCAGAGTTCCACAAAGGGCAGCCAGTGTGACCTTCTAAAAGGGAGGACCAAGCCACCCTCTGTCTGAACCACAGAATGTACCTCATCTAGTCTTCAGTAGGATGTAAGTTCCTGTCACCTCCTAGTCTTACTTGGTGCCATTTGGACCATGGAGACATCCTTCTGCTCCTCTGTGTGGCAGGGCCTGTGCCCTACTCCTCTACCTTAGAACCCGGCTGTCTTTGCCCTTCCACCTGAATCGTAAGCCAGTTCTCACCTGTGTGTAATTCTTCCTGCCTGTCTCTCCCGCTAAGCTATCAGTCCCATGAAGAACAGGGACTTTCGTAGGGGCAATGCTTCCTCACCTAAGGATCTCCCTGGAAGCTGAGAATACGTGACTTTGCGTGACAAAGGGGCTTTGCAAATGGGATTAAAGTTAGGGTCTTGAGATGCAGAGAATATTCTGGGCCATCTGGGTGGGCCCCATGCAGTTAGGAAAGTCCTTATAGGAGAGATGCTTAAAAAATCAGGTCAGAAAGAGAGCTTCAGAGGAAATGTGATAAAAGCAACAAGGGCTGGGGACACCAGAAAGGTGGGCAGTCCCCAGAATTGGGAAAAGGCCAGAAAATAGATTGTCCCCCCAGAGCC